GGTTGCTTCGAGCTGGCGCAAGAAAATAACGAGGTGGAAGCTGTCTGCGCCAAATTGGCCACCGTAATACTGATGCCCGTTGGCCACGCTGCTACCACTACCACATGCGCTGGCATACTAGTCTCCTGCGTTTTCGTTTTGGCAGGGTGCTTTGATTGGTCCGTTGCCTCTGTCTTACGGCCTCTAACCCCGACACAGCAGCCATAGGTGCGGCATATTGCAGAGGCTGCTACATTTGGCGTGTCTCGAGTCGTTTGTCGTGAATACATCTCCCCATGTGCAGCAGCGATACAGTATCATAGGTCCTGCCAGGTACGCACCCGCTCGAAGTCGTAAAAGGCACCGAAGCGGTTCTTCGCCCCCCTTCCGCTTGCGTCCTTCGGACCGAACGACTCGCGCAGCTCCCAGACCCCCCTCGCCATTGTGAGAAGCACGGGCGCATGCCTCTGGTAGATGCCCTGTGTGAAGTTGTGAACAACAGGAGTGTATCATGAGCCATAGGGGATCACCAGATTGCTGTACTTAACGAGATGGGTAGTTGGTCGACAAGCAGCCACGGAGGTGGATGCACGAACCGGTGCGTGCCCCTTTTGGAGGATGCCTCGATCCTTAAACGCGAGACGAGAATGGACCACGCAAGATCAATACTACAGGTATACAGATCAGACACCAAAACTAAATGGACGAGCAAATAGAACGAGCAACAAACAATACATGGCATAGCGACAAAAATACTCCTAAGTGAAGTTTCCCTTCGTATAAAATCCGACGATACTGCTGTACACACACGAATACTGGCAGTGTGGAAATCAGATGTGTTCGCGTCGTGTTTCCGGCAACAACACTGATTTCGATGCTACTATAGTAATATCGTAAAATCGTTGCGCAACACATGGTCATCACCTTCAAGAGCTCCGCGAACCTAACCTCCTCGTCGACGGTAACTGGACGGGGGAATTTCCGAATCTCCTCGTACGAAATAACGTACCACTCTCGAACCTGGTCACCGGCCACGCACAGGAGGGAGGGAGAGAAAGAGAGGGAGAGAAAGAGAGAGAGGAAGAGGGAGAGGGAGAGAGGGAGAGAGCGAGAGACAGAGCAGACAGTGAGTGGGAGAGGTAGAGGGGAGGAGAGAGAGAGAGAGAGAGAGAGAGAGAGAGAAAGAGGATGAGACACGAGCAGAACACAAAATGTGGGGCACGATGACTGAATGTTGATGTCGAGGCCAAACTCACAAAAAGCGAGTACAACAGCAATAGCAACCACCAGCGGCGAGGACAGAGCAACAGCACTCGTCAACGGCATTGCACGTTTGGGGGGTATCGATCACTCACTTACTCGATTCAACAACAAAAACGCAGAGCGGCTGTTTCGAGCAAATGTGAAATCGGTCGTGCCCCCAACAGAGTGCCGCCGCTCGACGAGTGTTTCACTGCACCGCATTCTCCGTTTCGACGACCGCGCTGCTCTTGTCGTTTTGCCGTTTCTTTTGAAGGCACCGTTGCTCCAATCAAAGATCGCTTCGCGCCGCCGACATCAATGCCAATGCCACTGAAGACACTACACCTCTTGAACTCTAGGGCAGTTGTTCTATTTCTCCCTCTCCCGATGCTCTTGGTGCATAAAAGTAGCCCGCGAGCGAATGAACTAGACATGTAGCTGAATAGGCGTTTGATTACTCCAGCGATCACGGGCGTGTTAGCTTTAGTTGTGCCCGTGTGCTGAAGAGTCAAACGTCAAACACACGCATGCTGCACCGCACCCTCTTTCGACCCGACCCTTCGGATAACATATAATAACACAGCGCATGCACAGCGACGCGCGGAAACACGAGATCAGGAAAATTCAAGCACTCGATGCAGCACTGGATACTTCACCAGAAGCAAATTACTAACGCTACTCTGTACGGAGAAACCGGGCAACATGCAACTTTCTCAAACCAAGACAGGCGAGGAACTGAGACATTACACGGTGGAAATAACTCTCGCCTGCTGTACCGACTTCTGCGCAAGCATGTCAGGAACGGACTCCAAGTCTCGCACGCGATGAGCCAGGCGGATGGGGAGCTCCCGGTGCAAGAAAGACGCCACCTGTAGAATATCAACATCATCGGTAAGGGGCATGTACATGTCCACATCACTTCCGAGCAAATTTTAATAGAAGCCGAAATCAAACCATTAGACTGGTTTGAAACCGGCTGAATTAGGTCACACTGTGACACTCCTTCGCCGTGGCTGAGACCTGGCAGTCATCACGTGGCGAAGTAAACGCAGACGAGATGGAAACGTCACCTGTGGGGGTTTTTCTGTTGAACTACTGTCGGGTCGAGAATTGTCTTGCTGTGGCTTTCTTTGCGGACGTACGTCCAAAACAAATCGCGGCACACGGCATGTCTTTCCACGAAAAAAGGGATTCCCTATTGTTCCTGCAAAGAGCGCTTTGAAATGTAGCTGGTCGACGTGCGCTTACCTTCCTTTTGTCCGGCAACAAGGAACCAGGAAAACTGGTGAAATTAGTTGTGGCGGTGGTGGTTGGCTACGACCGTCATAGTTCCCGAAGGGCTACCATCGCTCCCCACTTCTTCTACTTCTTGGGCATGTCGTCGACGTGCATATGTGGATCCTATGTCTACCTGTGCTGGTACCATCCTCAAGCGTGTGTGGAAAAAAAAAGCGGCTCATCAAAAACAAACCTGCTCTGACGGCGGTCCCAACTTCCCCAATCACACGCAACAGTCGCGCTCAGTACGAACATCTCGCAAAAATAGCAGATTTTGTGGATCATTCATCTACGGCAACCCGGATGCACAATACCTCAATAGCCCTCTGGTATATAGCACAACCTCGGGGGAAACACGCTCAGCCCACGTCTGTATTTGACTAAGAAGACCACCAGCCCAGGATTTCCACCCCGAATGTTGTGCACCTCGAGTTGCAGCCAGCGAATACAGCTCGAGATGCATCCAGGGAACTTTTTCAAACTGCCATACACGCATAGCATCTATACCAAGATGGTACTCCGTTGTACAAGTGGTTACACATGCTGCCAACATCCTTCATGATCTAAGAAAGCAGCGCCTGGTTCGGCTCACCTGTATCAGCATTTTTTGCTTGGTGGAGAGGCTGTCCTGCCCGGTGAGGCCCATTTCCCCCGACAACAGATCGCCCCTCCCGGTGTCGATCAGGGTCTTCAGGCTCACCCTGACACATAAGGGCCACAGGCACGCATTCCAGCAGTCAAGGCACAATCATCCGACGAAAGAGTTGGTACAGTAGAGTGTAGTCGATGCAACGAATCCCAGAGCACGCCGTTGATGCGCTGTTGTACGGCCTTGTTTCGTCCGAATGGGCGATCTCTCGAGAAAGGTACAGCAGTGGCGCAACGACCCCATGTCTTTCCCCTGCGGTGGTAGCTGGGTTGCGAAAGCTGCACTGCCTTGGTTTGTTGCCTCCAATTGTTGCCAGAGGTTCAAACGGTGCCTGGTCCCCTATTTTCTGGGAGAGGGCGAGCGTTGGCATATCGTTGCACATGCCCAATCGTATGCATATCTCGCGATTGGTCGAGGGCACCCTGCTCTCTGGTTGTTCGTCGAGATCGTCAGCCAAACACAAGTAGACAAGAGAGCGAACGTCAATGCATTCACATCTTCGGCATATCTTACCAACGTTACCGAGACCCTACTTCGCCCTAGACTATGTACATGACCAGCCACCTTCCGTGGAAGAAAACGGGAAGGGAGGGAATCGGTGATGCTGCAAGAGGAGGGAACCGACAAGATGCTGCAGAAAGATCCAACCAGCATTATTCTTGTTGTCCATGCAGTGTCTCGCCTTCTAGCTACTCTCGTCGATGTCGCTGTAAGAAAGAGAGTTCGACAACTCCCCGTTCACTATCACTTGAAGTTACCGATGACGAATTACCTCGGAGGGTCTCGGAGGGTTAGCATACTACTGTGTGATGGTTGTAGTTGTACGAAAAAATACACTGCAAAGTGTAGTACTCTACATACGCTGAAAGAGTGTATTACACGTCTCACCACGAAAAATGGGGTGACTGTCGCAATAATAAATAGGACGAAAACACACAAGCCCCCATGCTGCCCCCTCACGGGGTCCCAGTTCAAGGCAGAGAAAAGAGAATGGTTTTCAACCGCACTGAGACTGACGTCTTTTCATTGTCAGCCGGTTAGCGCGGTCGATGCTAATAATAAAAACACACACACATACTGCTGCACTACACAGCAGTATACACATGAGCGATTAGTTCGAATCAAATCCAACCTCCTTCTTGTACTTCAAATGAAATCCAACCTACCATCATTCCTGCTGACCGTTGCATGGGCATAGCGAAATCTGGTGACAAGCCTAAGCTTCAGACACAAGTTGGGCAACGGAAAACTATAAACCATTCTGCTGTACAGTCAGTTTCCTTGATTCTGCACAGCGTGGCAGTATGTAGTCTCGGCGTCTCCGCGCAACTGCAACGTGCTAGAACATGCGGTGTAACCACAGACCTTTGACATCGGCTCACCCAGTCTGTTTGCGAGCTGCGCTCTCCATGATGTCATCGTGCAACGCGGTTCCAGGGCCTGCCATGAGAGAGCTATAGTCTACGTCTCCTCCCCCTGAGGATAGATGGCGCCGGGATACGTTGTAGGTGGCGAAGCTGCTTACCCAAGCGGCATTTGCAGTAGTCCCAGCATCTGAACCCTTTCGTGTGAGCGGGGTCACTCCCGGAGTACTAGTGCTCCTGCCACTACGCAGCCGCGGAGCGACCGAACAAGCCGTCGCCGACGCTTCCCTCGTGCCCAAGAGTGATGCCGCCGCTCGCGAGAGCGTGGCCCTCCTGCTGCAGGCTAGAGCCATGTTGTTGTTGTAGCCTAGCCCAAGGGATGGATGTGTTGAGCAGGTACGGGTAAACCCGCTCGACTGCGCTCCCGCAGAGGAGGTCTGCGCGCGCTGAAAATGCACAACAACTCGCCGCACCACCAGACTCAGCAAGTGGAAGACAGTCAGACTTAGCTGGAGACAGCAGTTCAGGCCGGCAAGAGTGCAAAGTTTGGAGGGAAACCAAAGGATGAGAGGGTTTTCCTTCATGGTGACGCTGGGTCTGTTGCTTACGGCTACCACCGACGGGATGAGCAGCAAGAAGAAACGGAGGAAGGTCGGTTGAGGTACACCGTACATTAGGTTGTTGCTGTCGTTGTTTTTTACATTAAATATCAATCCCGATCTCTCTACAGCAGTACGGTACCCAGTCAGCTGTACCCAGTACCTTCATCTCTCCGCATACTATTTAGTCTAACACTTAACGCTATCGATTCCCGTAGTCACAGGCTACCTTACCCAAAAAGCCAAAAAGTATTTTGAAAATGGACCCGAGGGTCCGCAAGTCATGAACGAAAGATTGCCAGCCTACTCTAGGACCCTCCGCTCGCCGCTAGAGGCTATGCGAGGTAACCAAAAGACTGGAAGTCTACATCACGGGCCAGAGGGGTAGGTATATTCCCTGGTTCAATCGTGGTACTTCGCAGAGGAAAATGGGGCTGCGTGTTGTTCCTCTGGTATTTATGCATATAAACACCTTTCTGGGAGAAAAGGCTTACCCATTAGACTACTCAGTCAGCCTTTATCAATCCTTTCGACATAGACTATGTTGTTTATCCGCACCTACACTACCTGCGGAGTTATGTGCAACCTCTGTCTGTGTGCCCTGGCTTCATTCCAGACGTTTGATCAGAGAAGTAAAGCTTCTATTCGTCAGACGTGGCTTGATAGTACTGCTTGATATATCGGCCATAATGCTGTATCCATAGATACGTAGTCTCCTAAACTGCTGTACTTCAAGTACCTCCATCGTACACTCTTACTAAGTGGTAGAAGTGAACAAGAGCGCGCTTCGAATCACCGGTTGAGCAGCAACGCCCAGGTGGAAACCCTGTATAAATAGGATAACGCATGCGCGTGCGAATGTGACTCCACTTCGCGACGATCGACCGAGAACGCAAGCCAAGGGCAATGTGCTGATGGTATGTCTTATGCGTTGATGTACAAGTATGCATACAAGCACTTCTGCGTGTACAGTTGTTCTTGGTTTGGAGGAACGCAGTGTAGTAGTTCCCTCTCGCGTTACTGGATCCTGCTCAGGGTTTTCACATGCTCTGGCTATCCCGACTCGTTTCGTAGCACCGCTACATAGCTGCGCGAGAGATATACACGCTAGAGATGTGCACACAAAATGCAATGCTGGTCTCAATCTTTTTGTGGCTTCGAACCACCGAGGTGCTTTGAGCGCATGAGAACCAACCACGACGCGCCCACCGCGGACGAAACTTGACCCTAAAGCTAAAGACACATAATGCCGAAAAAGCTCCGTGCGGTGCACGTTTTGTTTTAGTGCCCGCCTGGATCTATCTCCGCCTTTCGACCTTGCATCACGGTCCCTCGAGTAGACACTCACGCCCCGAGCGTGTGATCCGCTGGCACTGCAACTTGATTTTTTGTTGTGGTAACCTTGGCCTGTTATTCTTGACATTCTTTTCGTAGCAACCAACCACGTCTGTGCGTGCTGACTGATGCCTCTAAAAGCGGTGCCAGAAACACTCCGTCGAACATCCGCATGAACTCGTCCCATTCAACAGTGCGTAGCACACCTAACGCGTTTGCTCAAGCCTTTCTAAAGCAGTGCCTTGAACGACAAAACTGCCATACGTTGGCCAGAGGAGCCGGGTACGACCGCTGCGCGCTCCTCATCACTTTTCGTTGCTGCCTTCTTTGCTCTCTAAGGGGAGATGGAATCAAGAATGGCAAGCACTCTGCTGTAAGCACGCCTGGCACACCTGCCCCCGCTTCGCGCGGAATACCGCACCTACCCACGCGCCCCGCCGCCCTCCCGTCCCTGCATCGGGGCCGAACAATCGTTGTTTTTTCATGGATGCAGGGTAGGATTTCGGTGTACGACCGCAAGCGCGAGTGCGAGACGGAAACGTGTGGCCACCTGGTGCCGCTGGAGGCGAAGAACTGCGTTCACGAGTGCGTGTCGCCTGATTGCTATCGGAAAACATACGCAGAGCCGGTAAGAGAGGCGAGATGTGCCGACAGGCAGATCAGGCAAGAGAGTGAGTTGGGTGAGGGGTTGATCACCACGATAACGATCGATTGGCGGTTTCAACACACATGTCCTATGTTCAGTGGTGGATTGACTTGTCCTGTGCAGAGAGAAGCAGAGGGTTGGGTATGGGGGAGAGAGGCAAAAGTGCGAACACATCTAGCGGAAATCTACACGCGTTGTGGAGTTGAAGACGGACGACAAGCTCTGTCGCAATATTGCCCACCGCACAGACTTCGTGATGCGCATGGCACTTCAGTAGGAGGGTCCGGCCGTACGGGCACTTATTCTTTGGCGACAGGCCCCGCCCCACGTATGTCGGTGTTTAGCGAGCTGCTACACGTGCTCGTGCGTGGTCATTCCCTCCAGCGTCTCATCTTCTCAACCTTGCGTCCATACCCCGCTGCGCGGCTGCTTGCCTGTCTCTCTGTCTCTCTCTTCATCTCTTCTCTCCCTCTCCCTCTCCCTCTCTCTCTCTCTCTCTATTTCTCTCTCGTTGTTTGACTCTCCCTCCCTCTCTCTCTCGCTCTCCCTCCCGCTCTCTGTCTCTCTCTCCATCCTTCCCTTCCACTCGTCGAAACAACACTCGAAACGTCCACCGCACGAGACAGCTTGAAGACGGCGAAATCAACTTGCAACTGTCCAAGAACTTCATGGCGTGCGCTCAAAGAGACATTAAAAATTCCATGGTTGCCAAGGTGCCAATCGCCAGTGCGCACCGGACGTATTTGGAATTTGACACGAACCACAGATCAATCGGGACGAAATAGTGACTGCCTTGGCCTATTGGGTGTGAAAATGACATATTTGGGTAGCGTAGGCTGTGTTCCTCGAACGAAATCGGTCGCCATAATGATTTCTCACATATCTCTTCACATCTCTGTCGGTCTGTGTGTGTGCTGTATTTTGAACTAGCATCGACCGCACCAAACCGGCTGACCAATGAAAATACCTCAGTCTCTGGCGGGATATTAGTCGTGAATATATATGCTTTCTGATGAAAGGGATACACCGTGCGGGAGACTGTGTCTGTCCGTCCTTCTGTCCGTCCTGTCTGTGTGTCTGTTCCTGTCTCACTCTCCTCTTCGCTTTGCATGGCTTTCTCCGCCGGGCACTCTGTTTTTTGTGTGCTGTGTTTCTGTTTTTGCTGTTTCCCTATGTTTTTGTTCCGAACACGTGCAGAGGCGCTCTGACCGACAAGCGGCGTCGGGGAGCGCCACTAGCAAGTCGGCTGCCACCGCTCATGGTCCCGCTTCAGACAGCTCGCGACAAAAAGGGGAATCACGACAAGAGTAGGTTGTGTTGTTGCACGCCGACGGCCGCGCGATTCCGGAGTCCATCTCTGGGGAATACGTGGCTACCGTTGATTCTCTCGAGGGTGGCGATGACGCGATGGGGATTGAGACATGGATGGCCGGGGAGATCGAGACATGAGTCGTCTATGATGAGGGACGAGGGAACGGACGTTTGCAAGGTCTTGATCTCGTCGGGTCTTTGGGTTGATGACTTTTCAGTGGGGACCTACTGTACATACCCCCAGCGAGCACGCGCGCTCAAACCGGTTGGTTGGCCGAGCACCAGGAACATGGCGAGAGTGGATGGTCTAAGTCTTGTTCCGAAGATCAAGAAGACTATGGACGACTTTCGACGTTCCGTTGAAGGGAACGCTGCGGGAAAACCATGACTGGCAATGGTGTGCGAGAACTCCGTCTTGTGAGTTGCCTCTTGATGACAGCAAGAAACGTTGCACTGGCGTAAGATAAACGAACCAAAAACAACGGCAACACGAGAAACTTGGTGTTCTCTGAAAACGAGACCGTCTCCGTGACTTGGCTCAAAGGCATGCTGCAATGCGGGCAAGACGAGTTGTGCTTGCGTTCGCTTGTACTCTACGCCAATGGGATAACCAGCAAGGAGTGTACTTCCGTGCTCTAAAGGTTGCGCGACAGGAACATGAGCATGGACCCAACCATCTGACGTCGACCCGCAGAGACTTGAACGCATCTCTTTGCACTGCTGTAGGTCTGATGTGATGTTGTGCATGGTATTCTGAAGGAAAACCGAAGAGCAGCAAACGCAGAGTGGCGGCAGACAAAACGTACCCGATACATCTGGCTCGGACCTCACATGTATGCGTACCTCTTTTAGTCCGAGATGGACACTGCAGATAGATCGGGTGAACGTGTGTATCCAGAGTGTAGACTAGTATATCCATGTCGGCGGCTGAGAAAAAAGCTTCACCGCGGCTCTCTGTTCAATATTCATTCCCACCTTGAGAACATACACATGTGCTACAGCTGTACATGTCATCAGCGCGCGCTTATGCGTATGTACGACAACACAGAGTAGTACCTGGTACACAGCAGTAGTAGCTCATGACGAGTTGAATCTGGTTTGTACCGCAGTCTAAAAGTCTGTCTGTTTTTTCATCAATGTTGACCGCTTTCATGGGCTTTTGAGTGCACGGTATCTGCAGGTGTGCTGTTAATTCTCTGCGCCACGCTCCCGGAGCTCTTAACGGCTGTGGCGTACGGCTGCTGTAACAACAGAGACCTTTGTGTGTTGTGTGCAAATATGGCTGTGACTGGCGAAGCGAACCGCGAAATGGCCCGGTTCGCTGAAACGGCACAGGATATGCCGCATGTGTGCTGCGGAGCCGCAGAAAATAACGGATGGTGGTGGGATCCATACGGGCGTGTTTTGGATGGATCCCACGCATTATCTGCATCGGTACCCCGTCTGAACGCTACTACAAGCAACACCTCTTGCGGCGGCATAGCAAGCACGGGGGGGTGGCTGGCATCTACTGCGCTGCTGTGCCTGTCTCCTTCAAAGGCGCGCCACCGGCGGCAAAGAATGGGCGGTTGCCCGAGCACAGAGGAGGCCCCGTGCTCGTCTGACGGCGCCGTCGTCACCAGGCGAGAGCTATGGACTTCTACTCTTCAGATTGGGGGTTGTCATCACAGGGTCCTAGACGAGCTCCTGTTGGGCGAGCGGCGCTTCATCGCAGATATGCACGTGAGAAAGGCTGGAAGTAGAAGTAGCGAGTACGGACGAGCAATGGATTGTGTAAAAGGGCTCTGGTGACTGCTGCGCAGCAGCAGCATCAGAGTCGTTTGGTTATGTCGTACGGAGTGGATCCGCGTGTTTTGCCGATTGGTGGCGCTTTTTCCTCTTGTCTTTCGTCGATAGTCCATAGTCTATCTTTGGAAGGACCCTCCCTGGAGACGGGGGTGCTCGGATGTCGTTGAACAGCAGGCTATTGTCGAAAGCAAGTGAGAGGATACTCTGTGTACATGCTTTTTTGCTGTTGCTGACCTTCGAGACCGGTGAAGGGCTCTCCCAGCTCTTCCAAACAGCCGCTATTATTGTAGCAGCCGGGGTAACAGCTACCCCGCGCGTCTGAATGACGCTAATGTCTACATTGCTCGATCTTGTGCCTGTCCGTTATACCCACGAAATAAAAAAACTCAACGGTGGACGACGCGCTATAATGAGGCACCTTGCAACCCACGCTTCTTCTTCGACGGCCATGATATAGTCGAAAACGTATCGCTGCATCTATGTACTCTATACCTCAGTATCAACTTTATTTTTCTTTGGCGCTGCTGCCCCCGCTTGTCTCCTGATGGATTCCGGTTGCCTGCGCCTTGCCTGGATCTGGTAGACGCTCATGGAAGTGTTCTACTGGCCGCTAGTGCGCTGGTTCGAGCAGCAAGACGCCGTCCGGGCGGCAGAGATGAGCTGCCCTGTGTCCAGAGCCGACGTCGATTCCGTGTTTTCCAACGTCGACGAGCTTATTGTTTTCAGCAGGTGAGCCAACAGCAGTGCTGCGATCACGCTTGCTCGTGCTGCGGTGGGGAACTTGTTGAGTCGGGAGATCTGATGCACATCTTTCAAAAAAAAAGAGATATATTCCGCGGCAGTCTGTCTTTCTATCTCTTGATGACGAGTATCCATCCTCGATCGGTGACTGCTGTATTGTTGGTTCACGCAGCAGGTGACAACTCTTGGTTGAGTCGGTACAACATCTGACGACCTATGCATAGATTGTAGAAGAGCGAGATGCAGCTGTTCCTGCTGTCTCTGGATGATTATCATCGTCATCGAGTCAACCCGCCCGCGGCTCCTATGCATAGACCAGATTATTGTCGCTTGTGTGCTACTTTCGGCAATAATTCATCGCATAGTTGTTGGACGCCTGATTAACCTGACGACAAGGTGAAGGCTACCCACAGAGGCCACGTGGACCAGTCACACAGTTTTTGTGGTAGTCCAAACAAAAAGTGGAGTACAATTCAAGCTGAAAAATCAAAGATGGTTGGTCATGCTGAAAGTGTTCGTGTTTCATAAATGAGCGTCGTTTTATGGGCAATGGGGGTCCATATTGTATGCATTGTATGCATACGTTTGGAATCCCCTGAAGGTTCTGCGCTGCATCCTTAGGTCTCGTGCGGGCATTTCCGACAACACAAAAAGAAGCGCTCTAGTATCGGGCACAAAACACGAATTCCATGGCAAGGATTAGAATCACCGCCACGACCTCGTCGACTAGACATGTACTGTGGCTTTAGTGTGTGGCGGTCTCACCTTTTTACAACTTGAGCGGTATGCAGTACCACTTGCGTGGAAATGTCATTGAAGCCGAAGTAAGCTGACGAGACACATATACTGTTTGCGCGTATCACGTCGCACATGCGTTCAGGCAACTGCTACCCGTCCTTGAGAGAGCGCGCACGGCGAGATCGAAAGGCATGCTGGTCGTCTTCCTCCAACTTGCCACCTCTTCCAAGGTATGAAAAACCCTTCTCCTTCTGCAGCAGCAGCAGCAGCAGCAGCAGCAGGTGTGTGCGTGTCTTTGTCGCGTCTATTATGGACACCAGTCTACAGCCTAGATGGAAGGAAATGCTAGCAGTCTTCCTCCAACTCGCCACTGCTTTCAAGAATGAGAGTTCTTCTGCAGCATCAGCAGCAGGCTTGTGCGTGTTTCCGTCCCATCTTTTCCCGGCGCCAGCCTACAGCCTATCCCTTCCGATAAAGTATGGTTTACTCACCAGCCACGGGGCGACACACAGGAGGAAGAACAAGGTACGGCTTCATCTTTTTTTCATCCCAATCATTCTCGTGAACGTCGGCCTTTTTTTTGTACGCTTGTCGACTTTCGGTACAATTTCTGGACGCACCAGCCGGGGCCACACAGGATGGAGGACAGCATATGGGTGTAGGTTTTTTTCCCTCCACCTTCGACCCGCGCGGCGCAGTTCCCATGTGCCTGTCCCATGTGGTGGTGGTTTTGTAGCACGCGGTCTTGCTGTCGGCTCGCATTTTTAGGGGCCAGCGGGGTGATGACAGATTTCCACACACAATGGTCTGCTTACCCTGTACAGCAGTTCAAGTTTCGGAACTCCGTGTGTATGACCAATGGTAAAGCGTAAACGTGGTTGATGGTAACTTAGTTGATGGTGCACCCGCGGGGATGACGTGCGTCAGTCCAGTGTTGTGGGTGCGGAAGCTCCGTGACACGCAGGAGCACGTACGCCCCTCCGATATGTACGTTCTTCCCGCGGGTCAAGCCGTCCCCCAATTCTTGAGAAAGGACCGCGATCTTGCTACTTTTTGGCGGTTTGCTGATTCGTCGTTGCTGCTTACATCATCAGCAGCTCGGCTACAAACGACCAGCGCAGGTCACCACTACCACTGCCGAAAAGTACGCTTCGGAATCCATACGTTTTGTCTCCCGTGTGACGAAAACGCCTCTCACACGAACATACCCATGCAAACCCCCCGCGTGCGTGCGGTGCTCAAGGAAGTGTCCACCGAGGTGCGGATACAATCCACAAAAATACACTATGAAGACGTTTCGAACCCAGCATCTCGCGAGTGGCACTTCTCCCTCCCCCTCATGGGTGTGGCATCTTTGCTTTCGACCGTTGCCTCTTTGCTGCGTGTTGCCTCCGTTGTGTCTTTGCATGGCCTACCGAAGACTACACTCGTAGGTGGTGTAGTGCGTGGAGGCCTTTCGGGGTGCGTGCCTCGACCTCGACGCTTGAAAGTTGTAGCACTGTGGAAGCACGTTCTTCACCCTCTGTGTGCACAACTTTCCATGCCAACGCATGATCATCACCACCACTCACGACAGCAACACCAATACCAACAACAACAACAACGACGACGACAGGTGTTTGATGTGTACGTAGCGGGGTGGCCGAAGGGCATGGACAGCTTGACGAAAATGGAGGCGGACCCGCCGCTTGCCATGTTCATTAGGGCGTGTGAGCTCCAGGAGAGGTGCGGGGGCTTCCGGCTGTGGGACTTCCTCGCCATGCCGTTACAGGTGATCCTGACTTGATTCTCGCGTGTCCGGTGTAGTGAGCTATTTTTCATGGTGCGGGGCATTCTTGGACTCCCCCCGAGGTGAGGTTGGCAGACTCCGACACTGACAAACCTCGAGAGTCTTCGACACTACATACCACTCCGGTCTCCGGTCTCCGGTCTCCGTTCTCTCTCTCTCTCTCTCTCTCTCTCTCTCTCTCTCTCTCTCTCTCTCTCTCTC